ATACATATGATTTACAGGTTTGTGATGAATGGGAAAATTAAGCTGAAAACACAAATTTTATTGACATTTTTTTGAATAAATTATACTTTAAACACTCTCAAATATGATGATTATAGGCTATGCTGGTGGGAAAAATGGGTTATGGTGACACAGGTTTAATTGACATAACAAAAGGCTATGCTGGTGCCACCCTGTGACACAGGTACTGATAACTGGGAAGGCAGGTATGCTGATGACATAGTTGGAATATGAATGATCTTGAACCAAAATAAATAAATATTGGATTGAAATCAGTGATGGCATCTATGCAGAATCCATTATAAAAAATCAGGATGTGGAATTAGTAAATACTAAACACTTCAAATACCTTGGTGTATCGATCAGTTGTAACAAATTTAGTATAGGATATAATGAAATTGAATATAGAATAAGTTATACCAGGATTAGTTTTGCATAGCACCACAAGTTGTTAAAGAACCAAAACATTAACCTAAATATTCAAGTCATGCTCTTAGTCTCATTAGATCAAGAGTTTCATATAGATATCATGCAAAGAGCTGTAACAATTGCTTATTCAGATCAAGGATTAAAAATGACTTTGAGTAAATGAATCCTGTAGATCTTAGTAAGGATCATCCTTTGTCAAGCTTCATGGACTGATAGTGTCACAAAAAATGAATTGTATTAGAAACAGAAACCACATTACTTGGGGACATTCAACAGCAGCAACAACTAAAATGGATAGCAAAGAAAATTATATAATCCAAAGATTGACATACATTACTTCAAACAAAAAGCTAGCCCATGCCCTCATCAGTACTAAAAAGAGTGCAAACAGTGCATTTTAGAAACTTATTTTCTTGAAATAGTTTTTAAAATTTCAACCAAAAGTCCTCTGTCAGTTAATGCCAAATATTTACTTATAAGGAAAGGGTTAATGTTACTATTAACATGAGTAATTACAAATGCCATTGTAAATTACTGAATATGATGATATTATCACTGTACTGTCACAAAGATGAGGATATTTGTCTAATTAATTCATAAAGACAATGGTACAACTTAGAATTTCTGACAATATAATTAGAGTGTTGACCGTCATTCAGTAGTGTTTTAATATTTAGAATATACTTTTTGCTGCAGTCATTTTGTCTTTTTTGGTCATCAATATTTCAGCTATTCCAAGAGATGATCATAAAATTAAACCAGCTTTATCAAATATAATGTATAAAGAAAACTAAAAACACAGTGACATACTTTGTATTTTACAAAGCAATGGCTATTTATATATATATATATATATAAATATGTTATAAAATCACTACAAAAATACCCATTTTGTTTCAACACCCTCGGTGTCTTATCAAGTGATGATGTTGAATGTAAAAAAAATTTCTTTCTTTTACATTCAACATCATCACTTTGTATTGAGCACTCTTTTAACAATAGTAATTGTTGGTTATTGGAATTCATTCCGTATACACCAATTATATACATATATATATATATAAGCAATGGGTATTGCTATATATATATATATATATATATATATATATATATGTCTGTATGTATCTATGAAATGTAAACCTAGTTAAAATTTCTCATAAAATTCATTTAAAATTTCAATCTTAGCAAACATTTTAAAAAAATCAAACTTCAAGCACAATATACATTACCTTATTTGAAAATTAGAAAACTATAATAAAAAATTAAGCAGACAAACCTTGTCAGTTCTTGTTAATCAAATTTGGTTAGATGAACATTTGCTGCCTAAATATACCTTATTATATATATATATATATATATATATATATATATATATATATATATATATATATATATATATACACATACACACACATCAGAGAAAAAAGCAACATTATACAAAAATACAGCAATAAATTTTTTCATTTATTTTTGACAATTAAGTTTAAACATGAGACCATTTAAAGATATAAATGGTATAAATTTACAAACATAAAAATGATTTAATAAAATTTTTTGATTTGTTTTTTTTAATGCCTATGATTAGTGTTAAATATAATATTTTAAAGTAGTCTATACATTGAAATATCTATGGATCTAACTTTTTTAATATTTTATATCAAAAAGAACCACTTGGATTATCCTTTTGACTTATGGATTTGATATTATTTTATATATATATATATATATATTAGCATACCTTAAAACTATATCTTTATCAGAGATAGTGCATTTGTAAATATAATGGCCTGAAAGTTGCATTCAAGTATGAAACATATTGTTCCCTCTAAGTGTTGACCTCAGTGTCCACTTTTATATTTACAGATGCTCTATCCCTGATATTGAATACTTTTAGCCATAAATATAGCAAATCTTAAGACTATATTTTTACTGTGTGTGTATATGTGTATAAAATGTAAACCTACAGTTAAAATTGCTCATAAAATTATTTAAACTTTCAGCCTTAGCAAACTTTCTGGTATAAATGTCATTTGCTAAAATTGGAATTTTAAATATTTTACAAGCAATTTCATGTGTTGATCTACATTCCAATTTATAGGGGGCGCTATCTTGAATAAGGCACATCTATTAAAAACAATGTATGTTAGACTGATTGCAATATATATATATATATAAAGAATTAATGGATTTATTTTTAATCAGACAATTTTATTACTGCTAATATTATTATAGTGGACACTTGTATTTGAAATGGTTGCCCCATTTTTATTTTTATCATAAACAGTGTATATTACATCTATGGCAGGTCAGTATATATTTTAAATTTATTCAGATTTCCTGAGTGCAAATAGAATGCTAGGCAATAGACAGATGTAATACACACTATTTAAAGTAAAAATAAAAATGGGGTGTCTATTTCAAATAGAAGTATGCACTAAATAATAATATTTGAATCCCCCTTATATAAAATTTACCCATGTCGTCAAAAATGACTGCATAGATAATTGTGATATTTAGTCATATATTTATTATTCTTAGAAGACTTTCACATGTAAATCTATAATTTTCTTTTATCACCTATTGTTGATCTCCAGTCTTTACTAGAATTGTTATTTTCCTCACTTGGTTTTGTCTGTCACTTTAAATAGTGTGTCATTGTAACAAAGACTGACACTTTAGGTGATTTTAGATGAGCATCTGGGAAAAAAGACATTTTGCTTTATAAGGACAAAAATATGTGTAACAAGAAATTGTGATATATATATTTATTTATTGAAAATGTCAAGTTCTGTCAAATGTTAATAAAGAAAACATTTAATTACAGATTCAATCAACAATGTATTTTCCCTGATTATCTATGACTTCCTTCCATCTATTAACAAGCTTACTAATTCCATTACTGTAAAATTCTTTTTGGCTTTGATTCGAAGAACTCACAAATGTCAGTTTTAACCTCTTCCTGTGTTACAAAAGCTGTTTCTTCCAAATGATTCTGTAAGCTACGAAACAAATGGTAGTCTGAAGGAGCAAGATCGGGAGAATAAGGTGGATGAGGAATTTTCTCCCAACCAAGTTCTTTGATCTTTTGTGATGTGATTCTTGCTGTGTGGGGTCGCGCATTGTCCTGATGAAACATCACCTCTTTTCGATTCACTAGAGCAGGTCTTTTTTTTCCTCAAAGCTTGGTTCAAACGCTCTAATTGCTGACAGTATATTTGAGCATTAATTGTTGCATTAGGTGGTAAGAATTCAAAGTGGATTATTCCTTTGGCGATCCCACCAGATTGAAAGAAGAACCTTTTGCCCATGAAGTTCCCTTCTCGGCTGTGGCTGGGGTCCTTCCCTTTACCAAAGCCACTGTCTACGACGCTTAACATTTCGATAAAAGATCCATTTTTCGTCGCCAGTCACAAGTCTATCCAAAAAAGGTGAAACAAGTTGGCGAGAATGGAGAGAAGAGCAGATGTCAACTCAGGATTTGAGATTGTTTTCAGACAATTCATGAGGCACCCATTTTCCAAGTTTAGGAATTTTCCAAGTTGTTGAAGATGACGATGAACAGTTGTATGGTTTGAACTGAGAACCACTGCCAATTCCTCAATTGATAAAGCAGGATTTTCTTCAAGGGCTGCTTCAAGAAGCTTTTCATCAAACTCAACTGGACGTCCGGTTCGATCTTCATCTTCAAGGGTGAAATCTCCACCTCTTTTGCAAGTTCTTTCATTCACACATTCCTCTCCATAAACTGAGTGAATGTTTCTAGCCGCTTCGGCTGCTGAGTTTTCTTTCTTGAACTCATAAAGCATTATGTGCCTCAAATGATTCTTGGGTACTTCTATGTTAGCAGGGTTTTAACCAAACAAAATTTAATTTTATTGTTCTCTGAAATAAAATTTGATCAGTTTAAATGCATCTAAACATAAAAATAATGTTCAGCATTAGACATTATAAAATACTCTTTAAATTTTGTTCATTTTAAAAAAAGTTAAAATTCGGACAGAACTTACGGGATGACCTGATGAAAAAAAAAAAAAAATGGGTCAAATTTTTGAAAAGAAAAAATTTTCAAATAAAAATTTAAAGTAATCAAACCACAAAATTTCAAACAACACTAATCCAGTTTACCAAAGGCAGAGAAGTCTCAGAAAATATTTATAAAAGCTTAGCCATTTCTCGTACATGGTCAACAATTACAGAGCACACAATGATGGCTTAGCTCAAACATTTTTAACTACTGTTCTAAAGTAAACACTATAGATGTTTACAATATTTGACGCAATGGCAAAACAATTTGAAGATTTGCTAATTGATTGATTGATTTTCTATGGCTTATTAATCGATTGGAGGTTATTTAAAGCCAGAAAATACTTTTTTTTAGATTGTAAGAATTTTTTGTTCTTGAGATAATAATTACTAATTAACCCATAGCTGAGGAGGGAGAAGTGGATTCATACCCTTTCTCAAGGCTATTTGCAAATAAGTGGATATAACAGGAATTGGAACTCGGCATCTGATTAACAATTCCAGGCCATTATCAATTATACACATCTAAGCTTACAGCACCTGGTATTCCTAAATGGTCACCCATCTAGGTACTGACCAAACTCAACACTGCTTAACTTTGGTCATCATATGCGGACTGGTGTTTCAACATGATATGGCTGTAATGCTGAGATTTAGTCGAGTTGGCTAACCAATGCTCTCTGCTTGCATTTCCCAAACTAGGCGATACCACTGCCACTGGATGCAGTGAGGTGACATTAGAACCTTCATTATGTGCTGTGTCCACTTGAAATGTAAAGATTGATGGCTCTTGCAGATTTTATTTCCTTTTTAGCTCTTAATAAATTTTGTATTTAATTTTTTTTCCTAAACCCTGTCCCACCATCCATTTACTCAGGCTCACTAAGTAGGATATGCATTGATTTCCTCTGTTCCCTTGCCTTCAAATCTGTCCTGTGAATCAAGCAATATAAATTTTTCTTTTTTTTATCAAGTCTATATAACAACATCTAAGTCAAAGAAAGAACATGAATAAAATTAACATAAGAGTTATGCATAAAATGCTTGGTTTTATTTAATTTTATCCTCCAAAGTTACATGTTTGATTTTGGTTTGTATCTTGCTGATGTTATCTGTGCTAGCCAAGTTAGATATCTGATATCAGCAGGGGCCAATGTTCTACATTTGCAGGTGTACCGATATAACCAAATGTTAATTTGGTGATATACATGATATCCTTAAAATTTGGACACAAACGAAATTGGCAATTTTTTTTTTTTTTTTTTTTTAATTGGTATTAAACATGATTTTGTCGAAAGAAAGAATTGAAATTTTTCTTCCTATACTAAAAAGGTGTAATATCAATGAAAATCAATAATGCAAACATTGATTGAACACAAAAGAATCTTTATTATAAAATTGACGGCAATGAACTTATTGCATTGAGTTTACATAAATCTTATAAAGCGCATCAACCTTTGCATCACAAATAATGTCCATCAGATTGAAAATTTTTTTTGTTAATATCCCAATTCAATAAAATATTGAAAATTTCTTTGTAAAAAATATGAATTCTTGCCTTTGTTATATGTATTACTTAGGCATTTTGTTATATAATGGTCTGTAAGAGGGTACCCTGAGGCGGTGTAAAGGTTAGCAAGCTTGTTTTGCTAGAAAAATTACAAATGAGTAGTGAGTTCGATCCTTACTGAGTGACCCATATTTTCGGCCTTGTGCTACATCTAAGCTATGCTTGGAAAATCACTATAATATTCTGTAAGAAAATCTGAAATGCATGTGTAGATTAGCCATTGTTCTGAATTTGCATTATAGAAAGACGTGTTTTCATATAAGCACTGGCAGGAAGCATGATAGATGTGGACTAGGGGCTAAGGGTGCAGCATTTAGAAAAATGTTTGTGAACTACTAATATATCTTAAGTCAAATTCAGTCTTCAGAGTGATTAGAGTCAGTCACTGAATGAGGACTGAATGAACAATGGTTTCCAAGGTTACCTTGATAATTATTGTTTTCTCAATTACCTTGAAGAGAAAAACAGATTTTGATCTCTGTCAGGTGAAGCAAATATACAAGAGTCAATAAAGTTCAATTTCTTTTTGTCAATTGGAACTTGGTAATTTATAGGTTCATGGAATCCTTTTTGGAAACAAGATATCATTAGAGCCAGAAGGAAAATGAGCAACCCTTTTCTTGGTCATCTGAATAAACTGTTAAAGAGAAACAGAATATTGAAAGCAAGGTCAACAAAGCAAAAGATTCATAATAGTTTATTGATCCAAGTTTGTAATCTTGTAAAAAAAAAAACTTTTTCCATTCAAGGAGGTCAAAACATTTTTTGCTGAACTGAAGATTTTTGTTAGAAAAATGTCAATAAGTTTTTCATAAACAGTTGATGTAAATTAAATGTTGTTGTTGAGATGCAAAAATGAAAAAATTTTGATTAGCATGGTGTGTGTAAACAAATTTTATTATTTACTATTGTCCCTTGTCTTTGTCACCATTTTTATTTAAATTAAAAAATTAGTTTGTAAAAATTCCGGGCCTTCTTCAGGTGGTTGGAATGTTGAACTGAAATATTTTATTTCTCTCACTGGGGTAGACTGTTTTAGTTCCATGTGCCATGTTAAATGGATGCTAGTTATCATTCATCTTTTAATTCTCCTCTGAAAGATCTCCAATGCCTTAACATAGGTATTGAACTCAATTTATTGTTTGGGTCCAGTCATTTATCCACTGTGCCTTTTCACATCTGTGTATGAATTTCTGGATATTATAAATGTAATGTCTTCAGCAACCATTTTTTACAAAATGGATTTGTAATAAATGATTTTGACAAACATGAGGACAATGGTCCGAATAATGTAAATAGTATACATAATAGTTCATCTCAATCATTTAGACAGATACAAAAATATACTTTATTTTGACTAAACACTATGAATAAAAATCTGTTTGAAATTGTATGAACAAATTATCTATATGTAAAAAAAATTAAATTATATGATTCTATAAATGATGTTTTTCAATGTTTTTACTCTACAGTTCAAATTTTGAAACAGTCCCTCAAATAGAGGGGGATTTGTGATGCATAAAATATATATATATATATATATATATATATATATAAAAATATGTATATTTTTGTGTGTGTGTGTGTGTTTTTATACTTTCATCTCTCAAATAAAAATAAGGAAAAGGTTTCAAATTTATTTCAATGAATTGTCTCTCAATTTTTCAAATTTTAATATAACCTTTATTTTATTAAAAAAAAAAGGAAATTTTTTCATCATTGAAGAAAGGCAATAAATCCACTAAAATGAAAGGATTTACTGAGTGTTAGAGAATATGGAAAAGAAACACTGAGAGAGAACAATAAAAGAACAAGAATTAAGAAGACAGAGGATAATGATTGACATTGCATTTAAATTTTTAAAGATCAAAGTTGACTGGGAAGCAAGAAACTGAAAGAGAGTTCCACAAGTGAGAAGTATGATAGAAGAAACTGTTAACATAGAACTTACGGTTACATCTAGTCATTTCAACTGTAAATGGTGAGACCTTGCAACCAATCTAGTACTGCACTTAAATTCATAAAGTCTAGGTACCATAGTGAAGAGTTAATGCAAATAATTACCATGAAAGTATTTATAGAAAAGGCACAGAGAAACTACATTAAGGCAGTGGGAAAATGACTAAAGCCGATTTGTCAGGTTAGGACTAATAAAATTGCAGATTCTCCTTTGGATTTTATCAAGAATCTCTAAATATATAGCAAGAGCACCAAACCAGATGCAGTAGCAATATTCAAAACAAGGATGAATGGTAGATTATATTTTATATAAGATAGAAAAAAATTTGAGAAACACACTGAACCAACTTTTTTAGCAGCAGACCTAACAATTGATTTAATATCATCTTTCCACTTCATGTCAGCAGAAAATGTTAGCCTGAGAAAGAGCAATATTTCACTGTCCTGGAGGTTAGTATTAGCCATACTGATGGAAGGCAGAAATGTTAAAAAGAGTGATGATTAAGAGATTAAAATTTATTTTTTTTATTTTTTTAGGCAAGACTACAGATTGAGGAAAAAATCTTCTTGCCATGTTGCAAACAGTGGATAGAATACACTTATTAAAACTTTGAAAATTAAGAAATATCCACACTTTATTTGAAACCTCCATATTTATTCAAGATGCAAAAGTAGGTAAAATAAATGACTCTGACCTAGATTTCAATGCTTCTTACCATGACACAACTGAAAGGTTGTACTTAGTAAGTTACTTGTAGTTTTAATATTTGATACATTTTAAAGTATACTCTACAATTAAAACTCTTATTTTATTATTATTGAAAAATGCAAATGACACAAAAGTTAAAAATTATAATGTTGTCATTTTTGGAAGAATCATTAGATAAGTTAAAAAAAATGTTGACAAATTAAAAAAATATTAGCGTTATTTTAAAAAAAAAAATTAAATGAAAAATGTTTGTAAATTTTGAAGGGAAAATAAATTAATAGTAAATAGAGTTGCCCCCACTTATCTTGTGTGGTATATATTCCAATATATATGATTTGATTAAAAAGAACCAATAATGTATATCTGTTTAATTTTTTCATATTTTTTCAATTTTCAAATAAGCTATTGAGCATTGTGTTCAAAGTTATGAATAGACTGTCCAAAGTTCATATTTTGTTCAGGTAATGTTGACTATCACAGTCATTATCAAGAACTATTGTGTTGTCTGTGTTGTAATTAGCATTCCTTTGTCTATATCCTGATATTCCTTGGGAGGCAAAATGTTCAAAATGGTCTAGCATGATGTCATTTATCAAATTAATATTGTTAAACAAAAATAATCTGTATGTGTTTGTTTGTAGAAAAATTGAATTTTCCATACATATTATAAAGTTTAATTTAATAATTCAGTTCAATAAGAGATTAAGGCACAGGGGAGGGGCACATTGGATTAATGAATAGCGGCTTGGATTGAGGAATCACTGAGCAGAGTTCAAATTCCATTCAAATCCATTACATTCTATCTTAAAATTAATTTATTTGGAAAAAAGTAAAAATAGGAATTTTTTGATAAAATAAAATAGCAGGAAAAGGCTGGGTTGTATTTTTGATGGCAACATGGTCTAACTTTGCAGAAAGAAATGCCAAAAAAATGCATTTGTTAACTGCCTTATCAGAAGATTATTAGAAGGATTACATGGATTGCCTTAAAGAAATCATGCATAGCACAAAATTCGGAAGAGAGACTGGAGAAATATATATAAGAATGTTGAATTATAAATTATATTGTAATAAAATTTATGCAAAAAAGAAGATCTATGGCAACCTCAATGGAATATGATTGATTTTCTTTTATTAATTATCATTAAAACTTTTCTATTTTGTTATATATATATATATATACACAAATATATATATATATATATATTTACACACACACATTTATATTATACATTTTACACAATAAATATATATAAATTTATAAATATATATATTATTTTATATATATTATATATAATATAAAAACATATATATATATATATTTATATATTATATATAAACAAACATATATATATATTTTAGAATATATATATATATGACACATAAATACATATATATATATAT